AAGAATATGTGACCTCCAAACGAGCTCTGCAAGAAATTTTAAGGGGGACTCTTAAAACTCCCCTTTAAGAAGAAGTTCAGTGGAACAATCCACAAAAACAAGGACTAAATAGATATCATGATGACACTAAACTCATATCTGTCAATAGTATCTCTGAACGTGAATGGGCTTAATGACCCCATCAAAAGGCGCAGGGTTTCAGACTGGATAAAAAAGCAGGACCCATCTATTTGCTGTCTACAAGAGACTCATTTTAGACAGAAGGACACCTACAACCTGAAAATAAAAGGTTGGAGAACCATTTACCATTCAAATGGTTCTCAAAATATACCCTAAAAACTATAGAACACTTCTGAAAGAAATTGAGGAAGACACAAAGAGATGGAAAAATATTCCATGCTCATGGATTGGCAGAATTAATATTGTGAAAATGTCAATGTTACCCAGGGCAATTTACACGTATAATGCAATCCCTATCAAAATACCATGGACTTTCTTCAGAGACTTAGAACAAATTATTTTAAGACTTGTGTGGAATCAGAAAAGACCCCAAACAGCCAGGGGAATTTTAAAAAAGAAAACCATATCTGGGGGCATCACAATGCCAGATTTCAGGTTGTACTACAAAGCTGTGGTCATCAAGACAGTGTGGTACTGGCACAAAAACAGACATATAGATCAATGGAACAGAACAGAGAACCCAGAAGTGGACCCTGAACTTTATGGTCAACTAATATTCTATAAAGGAGGAAAGACTATCCATTGGAAGAAAGACAGTCTCTTCAATAAATGGTGCTGGGAAAATTGGACATCCACATGCAGAAGAATGAAACTGGACCACTCTCTTGCACCATACACAAAGATAAACTCAAAATAGATGAAAGATCTAAATGTGAGACAAGATTCCATCAAAATCCCAGAGGAGAACTCAGGCAACACCCTTTTTGAACTTGGCCACAGTAACCGGAGAAGGACAAACAGTGTATGTTCTCATTCATTTGGGGAATATGAATAATAGTGAAAGGGAATATAAGGGAAGGGAGAAGAAATGTGTGAGAAATATCAGAAAGGGAGACAGAACATAAAGACTTCTAACTCTGGGAAATGAACTAGGGGTGGTGGAGGGGGAGGAGGGCAGGGGCTGGGGGTGAATGGGTGATGGGCACTGAGGGGTACACTTGACGGGATGAGCACTGGGTGTTATTCTGTATGTTGGTAAATTGAACACCAATAAAATTAATTTATAAAATTAAAAAAAAAGATCTTCCTGGCTACTATATAGAGAATAAATTGGAGGAAGTAAGAGTGGATTTGACAAAGGCAGTTTTAGAAGGCTCTTATTATCTTCGTATCTCTCTCCTACAGGCCTTATTACTGGGATGCAAATTTGAGGGCAAAGGTGGTCCTGATCTATTATTAGCCAGCAGTGGTACTGATGCCTTTGAGCATATTTTCTGATCCATTGCCTGGTTTCCTGTTTTATTCATGATCTTAAAGTTCTAATTATTTATTTGTCTCTTTCTTCTAGTAAGTTTTAAGGTTGAATTAGCCCAGTGAAAAAAACATGCAAAACAATATTTGTAGAGTAAGTAAAATAGATAGATAAATGTGCTTTGTCTAATGGTTTGGACCTTCTGGGCAGTTCTGCTAGAACTTTACTTCATCTTTCGGGCACTGATTTTGTCCACTAAGATTGTCTACTAAGATGCTCTTACTAGAGGTATGCTTAGCTGCAAAACTAGTTCCATCAACTATTCTGTTCTATATTATTCTTGCCCAGTCCTTGCCTTGCTTCCTGCTGTGATTTGAGATGCCAGAGTTCTTTGTGTTCAGGAGAGCCCAACCCTTTACAACTTTTGATGTCTTATAGAATTGTACTTTAACATTACTATTATATAATATCTTTGTTTCCATAAGAAATCATAGTCATATAATAAAATTTGTTCTATCAGTCTATAATATGTAGAATTGTACACTACTTCTTGTTATTCCTAATGGTTTGTTCTCCTGTGATTATATACGAAAAAACAGTCTTTACATTATATGTGCAAAATAATTCTACAGAGTACTATCATGCATCTTGATTTATTGATGATTTACATGTGAAATCATCAATATAGAATATGTTATAGAAACTGCAAAATGCTATTAATCTGACACATAATATGAGCTGAGAAAAGAATCACGATAATGCTGTGTGCTTCTGCATTACTTAAGCTGCTCATACCCATTGTACTCCTATAACTTAAAATAGCTATGCTTATTTAAGTCTAATTTTGCATCATAAATTATTCCTAGACTGAATTATTTTGCTTCTATTCACAAACAACATTGCAATACATTATACAGTAAAGTTAGAAGAGAATAATGAAATATAATTTCATTAGTAACATTTATATAAGATATATGTCTTTTTTGCTATTTTTCCCAAGAATTTAGCAGAGAAAAGTCTGAATGAGCTATTAGTATTTTTTAAGTAAATGATTTTGTGTTTGTATAAAAGTATCCATCTGTTTACTTCGGCTATGACCACTGTTACTATAACACCTGTAGTTCCTAATTTCACTGGATAAGAGAATGTTGAAGTGAAACTGTATTGAGCATAATGCTTTCATCTATGCATAGATAGCCATATATCTACAGTCCATTTCACGCAGTAGCAATAACATTAAACATGTTTTATTCAAGAAGTGGTTTAAGTTTGAACAGAGTCTGTTTACTAAAAGCTTCTTCTTGCCAATGGCCTTATTCTCAGTAAAGTCATCTCATATCCTTAGAAAAATGTAAAAGTTAGAGCACCTTTCTGCCACTGACTACCACTTGCAAGCATGAACATAATGGATATGGTTTGTTAATGTTAAGAGGAAAATTGTTAAGGTCATCGGTGCAATCCACCAAATATCTCTTGTTCTTCTTGCACGTAGAAGTCCTCCCACCCTCATAAAGTTTTCTGTGTCCATGTGACTGGTTTGTTAAAGTATGAACAAAAGAGAATTTTATTTCTGGCATGTGGAATCTTTAGGAACCAGTGCAGTGCTTATATTATAGCTTCTATGGCATTCTGAGTAACAAAGCAATGATATCATGGATCTGTCATGGACATGTAGTGTTAGTAAGAAGAAAATTACTGTATTAAGTCACAGAGAGTTTTGAAGTTATTTTCCTCCCTCCCTCCCTTCTTCCTTCTTTCAGTAGGAAAAGAGAAGAGGAAAAGAGGAAAGGAAAGAGAGAAGGAAAGAGGACAAAGGCAGGGAGGAAAGGAACTATAAAACAAGAAAGAATTCAAGTAGGGCCAGAAATAAACCCACAATTATATGGTCAGTTAATCTTTGACAAAAGAGGCAAGAATATACATTGGGAAAAGGATAGTGCCTTCAACAAATGGTGCCAAGAAAACAAGACAGCTACATGCAGAAGAATGAAACTGGGCCCCTTTCTTACACTTTACACAAAAATAAACTCAAAATAGATTAAGGACCTGAATATGAGAACTGAGCCATAAAAAATTCCTAGAAGAGAATACAGGCAGCAACTTCTCTGACATTGATTCTACCAACATTTTTCTAGTTATGTCTCCTGAAGCAAGGGAAACAAAAGCAAAAATAAACTATTGGGCCTACATCAGAATAAAAAGATTCTGCACAGCAAAGGAAACCATCAACAAAACTGAAGGATCTAAACCTACTGAATGGGAGATATTTGCAAATGGCATCCAATAAAGGGTTAGTATCCAAAATATATAAAGACCTTATAAAACTCAACACCAAAAAAAAAAGTCCAGATGAAAAATAATCAGAAGGCAGGAACAGACATCTTTCCAAAGAAAACGTACAGAAAGAGACATGAAAAAATACTCAACATCAGTCATCCTCAGGGAAATGCAAATCAAAATCACAATGAGATATCACTTCACACCTGTCAGAACAGCTTAAATAACACAAGAAACAACAATGTTGGCAAGGATGTGGAAAAAATAGAACTACCAAGTGATCCAGTAATCACACTAGTGGGTATTTACCCAAAGAATACAAAAACACTAATTCAAAAAGACATATTCATCCCTACTATTAACGTAGCACTATTTACAACAGCCAAATTATACAAATTATGGAAGCAGCCCAAGTGTCCCTCAATAGATGAATGAATAAAGAAGATATGGGAGATATATATATATATATATATATATATATATATATATATATATACACACACACACACACACACACACACACACACACTTGGATTATTATTCAGCCATAAAAAGAGTGAAATTTTGCTATTTGCAGCAGCATGGATGGAGCTGAAGAGTATCATGCTAAGTAAAATGACTGAGTCAGAGAAAGACAAATACCATACAATTTCACTCATATGTAGAATTTAAGACACAAAACAAAGGAAATAAAGAGGTGAATAAAAAAAATCAGACTCTTATCTATAGAGAACAAAAAGATGGTTACCAGGGGTAAGTGGAGGGGTGAAATAAGTGAAGGGGATTAACAGTACACTTGTCCTGGGGATACCTAGGTGGCTCAGTCAGTTAGGAGCTGACTCTTAATTTCAGCTCCCATCATGATCTTAGAGTTGTGAGATTGAACCCTATGTTGTGCTCTGTGCTGGATATGAAACATGCTTAAGATTCTCTCTCTGCCTCTCCCTCTGTTCCTCCCCACTCCTCTTCTCTAAAAGAAAAAAATAAAGAGTAAACTTACCATGATAAGGATTGAGTAATATATAGAATTGTTGAATCACTATATTGTACACTTGAAACTAATATAACACTGTATGTTAATTATGCTGGAATTGACATTTAAAAAAGAAGAATGGAAGTGTTGTTCATATATGCATATGGGAAGGAGGGATCAGAAAGAGACAAACAGAAAGAGAGATTTAAAAAGCAGAATTTACCATTCCTAAATTATGCAGTCTTTCTAATCATTTGAATTAGGCATCAGTATAATTTACATTATTTCTCTCACTATGGCTGTGACCTTGGATCTTACCTTTCTACATAATCTAGTAACCGGGAACAGTGATTGGAAGCAGGAGCATCATGACCTCCTACTGCATAGAGAAAACCATCGCATGTAGCCACTCCAACACCCCCTCTCCTTTTACACATTGGAGCACACATGTTCCACTTATTTGTATGAGGGTCATAATATTCCATTGAACTCAAACAGGAACTTCCATCACGACCTCCAACAGAATATAACCTAAAAAAACAATTAGAAAGACAGGATTTAATACTAAAGTCTGAATGACGAAGTGTAGAAAAGAAGGCCTTTAAAAAATAGTCTATCACCATATGAGTCTCAGATGTGCTCTAATAAGATTAGTAGCTGTGTAATTTTTTCTTTACCAGTGGACATTGCGATTAATATATTGGTAAATAGAAACTGAAAAGTATAGTATTAAGTTGACATAAGTGCATAGGAAGACATTATTATTTAGTATATAAAATCATACAGGTCTTAGATGTGCAAATCCATACTCTAATATCCTTTAGTAATTCTAAAATATAATCTTTAAACTGATTTCAAATCCTAGAGACATTTTTTTAAAAGCTGCTTGTGTTCCCCTTAATGCTTGGCATGACAAAAGTTTCTGATTGCCCAAGTGTGCCCTTTACGATTGTAATGCTTCTTTGCTTGGCTACTCAATTCTCTGGCAGATCTCAGTCTTCTGTGTTTTGAAATTAACCAATACCAACATTTTAAAGGACAAGGAGTGGGTAGTTTAACTTTATAGAAGCACCCAGAAATTAAGTATTCACTGTGAAGTTTTTATCATCCTAAACACTTCATGAAATCTGAGCTTTATTTTTTTATAAAGATTTAACTCAAAGTGTGTTATAATAATGAGGTATATTATTAAAATTTAAATATTTTTTGCAGAAATTTTACTTATTGAGTAGGTATCTTTACATAAGGCATCTTACACAGTCCCTGGTATATAATTTATATATGAGAAAAGTATCCTCTTTCTTTCTACTATCATAAAGGAATTGTTGACTGCAAGCTGCTCTTTTATTTATACATATTACACTGATAAAGTACAGGATTGATTTATCTGAATCCAGCATTGTTAATAGAGTATTTTTGTGTAATATATCACATATTTTCTTTTTCTGACATTATTTAAAATACTAAGATATAAGTATATAGCTAAATGTATATAGAAACTAATGATAATTATATTGCGTATAAGTCAAATACTGAGATTATTAGTCTAGCCTTTTATTTGGAAACTAAATATTCCTACAAAGTTTACAAGTTACAATATCAATTACTTCTTCAATATAATTATGTATATTACAAACCACTATTCATTAAGTCTCTTTCTTCTGTGTGAATCCTCCCTTAATAAAATCCAGTGACACAAGGATTATATAAAAAAATTATGTAATGCCTTGATAAAGATGACATAATATTTGACAGCCCCTTTTGTAAAATAAATGTTTGATCTATGGTAGCTATTATTTTATAAATTACTTATGAAAGCCTAGGCATAATATCAGTGGTTTCTTTCATTTAATACATGTCCCTTTTAGTATTATAAAGTCTACAGATGAACAATGAAATTACCATAATTTTAATATATTGATTAATATTAAGGCAAAATTACTTGACAAGAGTAAATGCACTGAATTTTTCCCAAAAAATGAGGTTTGAAAAAGAAATTAGGAAATTGTAACTTGTGTAAAACATAATAGTGTCTTTGGACTGCTTTATGAATCTAGTGTTTAATAGATATATTTTAATACTTGAAAGCTTTTGAAAATTATGTACTTTACAAATATATGCTATCAGCTAACATTATCTCTAATCTACTTATTTTGAAACATAAACTTGCTGAGTGACTAAGAATTAAAATGGAAAAATAAATAATAATAACAATTGCTATAATTATCATTAAAGTTATAAAAATAACCAAGGGATAGAAACAATATACTCTCAAGCAGTTAGAATCAATGCTAGAATGTATGCACATAACTTCATGGATGATTATCTTCTCAGATCTCCCTTCATAAGCTATTTAATCATAATTTAGGTTGATTCCCTGCTTTCCTTCACTACAATGACAAATTAGATGTTGAGAATCTGAGGAGCAGAGAAGAATCTGATGCTAGAAGTAAATGCTTTGACAAGATAGGAAGTGGCAGCTGACGGTTTTGCAGCAAGAAAGGAAACGTGACATTTTAACTTAGAGTTGAAAGATGAGTGGAAATTTGTAAGGTGAAGAAATAGGGGGAAAGCATTACATACAGGGAAAACATTATGCATAAAGACAAGGTGCATGAAAGGTCACAGCAGGTGACAAATAAAGAGTGGCAGGTATGTCATACTGATGAGGGGAGTTTATGGAGGAGGGGAAAGGAGAGATGCGGCTGGTAGACGAACACGAGGCTTGATGAATGCCATGCTGCAGAGCTGGGATTTCATTTTGAGGCAATGAGGAAAGGACAGAGAAATAACGTTCTTAGGAATCATCAGGTTCATAGTTTGGTTTGCTATGAATAACATGTGATTGGAACGATCCCAGATTTAAGTGAACTCTTCTGAATTTTGGTGAGAAAGGCAAGAATCTGAGTCTTCAACTAAGACTTTCCCTAACTTGTGTGTTTATTCAGTGCACAGATGAATTTTACCTAAAGCTTAGTGACCAGGTCTCAGTGTTTTGAGACTTAGTTGTCAGGTGCCCATCTAAGTGAGTGCCATATATTTCATATTCCATATTCTAGTAAATAAAATATAGCAGTTTCAAGAAAAAAAATCCTGTATTAGCTAGGATGTGGGTTCAAATGTGTTGAAAAGGGCTAGCCTGAGACCCAGGCTATTTTCCACTTTAAAGCATGTCATCTGTAGAATAGGACCCTTTGTCAGAACTGTGAGGAACTGAAAATGTTTTTACTATTTGAAATCTAAGAAATTAGCCTATAATTTATAGATGCTGGAGGAAGACACAAGACTTCTAGGTCAGAGAATAATTGCTGAACTTCAAGTTCACATTGGTTCTTGTTGTCCACCCTCCACCCCAAGGCCCAGTAGGGTAACAGAGGCTCAAGTAAATATTGCTCATGCAGGGGCTTGGCCTTTCTCACATCTGAGGAATGTTAAGCTGAGGAAATGCTAATTCTTTAAAGAAGCCTACCCACAGACCTGCCCAAGTTTTGCTCTGAATGGAGACATGATCTTTCTTATTCTGGTCAAGAAACAAACTCGCTCTCTGCCCTAAAGAAAGACACTGTTTCTTTCTTCCTAGCTCTTTGATTTACAAATATCCTTACAGAACAGTGTAAAAAGGTTGCCAGCATTTCTTACTCATGAAATGTACAGTAACACTAAAACTCCATTGTAGACTTCTCTGCAAAATCTCTGGTCCTGAAGGCCTAAGGGACCCCTAGCTATCACAACCACAGTTCAAACAGCAGGACAAAGGAAAAGTGGAAGGAGTGCACCATGTAAGAATTTATCTTCTGGATTTTTTTTTAGATTCCACATGTTAATAAAAAAAAAAAAACAGTTCTCTATAAATATAGAGAACAAACAGGGTTGCCGGAGGGAAAGGGGTGGGGGCAAAATTGGTGAAGGGGAGTGGGAGACACAGGCTTTTGGTTATAGCATAAGTCATGAGAATAAAAGGCACAGCATATGGAATATAGTCAATGATATTGTAATAGCGTTGTAAGGTGACAAATGGTGGCTACACTTGTGGTGAGCATAAGATAACATACAGAGAAGTTAAGTAATTACCTTGTATGCTGGGAAACTAATGTAACATTGTGTATCAGTTATACTCAAATAAATAAAACTGAATAATCCATTTTTTGAAAAGTTGCACATCTCACTTCTGATATACCATAGAGCAAATGTAGTCCATGGTAACAACTAATTGATAAGGTGCTAGAATATGTTGTTTTTATTTTAGGTGGCCATATGCTAAATATTGGGTATTTATATTTCATAGAAAAAGGAGTATTTGGAAACAGAAGTTTCTGACACAGGGACACCTGGGTGGCTCAGGGGTTGAACGTCTGCTTTTGGTTCAGGTCATGATCCTGGGGTCCTGGGATTGAGTCCCATGTCAGGCTCCTCACAGGGATCCTGCTTCTCTCTCTGCCTATATCTCTGCCTCTCTCTCTGTCTCTCACCAATAAATAAATAAAATCATAAAAAAAGAAGTTTCTGACATAGTGCTGGATCTTTTCTATCCCTGTGTGCCATTGTGCATCCTACCTTAGATACCTTTTTCCTACGTACACTAGGACACTAGGTAATTCTCATTCATCTCTCAATCTCTACTAGAAAGTCTTTTCTGATCCTACTTTGTCCTTTTCCACAAAATTAACATTATTTATTATCTGTATTATTTAGGTAAATTTATTTAATACTTTCCATACTTTATCAATAGTGCTTTAGTATGGCTTTAGTATGGCTATAACTGAACTTAAGTTCAACTGCCAGATGTGTAGCAAAGGCCACCACTGAAACATGAAGTATGCAGCAAGGGAAGGGTTTATTCTAGAGGTAGTCAAATGAGGAGACAGGACAGCAAGCCTCAAGTCCACCCTTCTGAAGGAGTAGAATAAGGGAAATTCAAAGGCAAATGAAAAAAACATGGTTAAAAATTGCAGCTGAGAGTAATCCCATTAACTTTTTGGTTCCTGGCTTCAGTCCCCACTGTCTTTTAATCATTCCTCATTCTTGAGGGAATTGGGATGATGGCTCATTTATTTATTTCTGCTGAAATGGAGGGAAGATTGTGGCTGGAGGAATGGCATGTTTAGTTCCAGGCTGAAGCCCAGCATTCTGCATGAATACAAAGCTTTTGTACTTTGATTATCACTATATTTTATCTAGGGCCTTAGGGGACATTTGTTGTAACCAAGTAGCTTGTTGTACTTGATTTCTTCAGACTAGTTCTCCTAAATTTTCAGGTCCATCAGAGTCGTGCTAGTCCAAGCAGGGTTTCTTTTCAATGTTCTACTTGCTGATTAGGTGTAGGCAACCTATAGATTCTTGTCATTTGAGTGTGATGAGTCCATGGCTTAATTCCTTGTAGTTTCACTAAGGAATGGGTAGTCACCAGTGCCTCATAAGGTCTTGTTCAACAAGCTCAGAGCTGGCACTCTGGGTGCTTGCTCTTCTAGGTCTTGAATCTTCCAGGTCTCTAGGATTCCGGAGGCTTAAGGGCATATCTGTGGGGTACATCA